TCAGCCTGGCTGGCAGTGGTTGAGCAGCATCCTATGAACCAGAAGGTCACAGTTCAATTCTCTGTCAGAGCCCATGTTGGGCCCAGTGGGGGGCAGCAGGATTGAGCAACAAAGGAGAAAATAAATAGTGATGGAAAAAAACTAAAATTTAAAAACAAAACAGAAAAGTTGTGTTTTTTGATGCTATCCTTTTTTATTTTTATTTTTTTTAATATATTTTATTGATTTTTTTTACAGAGAGGGATAGAGTGTTAAAAATATCTATGAGAGAGAATCATCGATCAGCTGCCTCTTGCACACCCCCTACCGGGGATATGCCCACAACCGAGGTACATGCCCTTGACGGGAATCGAACCTGGGACCTTTCAGTCCGCAGGCCGACGCTCTATCCACTGAGCCAAACTGGTTTCTGCTATTTTTATTTTTTGTTAATCCTCAACTGAGGATATTTTTCCATTGTGTTTTTTTTTTTAGAGAAAGTTGAAGGGATGAGAAGAGAGAGAGAGAGAAAGAAATTGATGTGAGAGAGACACATTGATTGGTTGCCTCATACACACACTCTGACTGGGGCCGGGAATCTAACCTGCAACCAAGGTATATGTCCTTGACTGGGAATTGAACCTGAGTCCCTTTGGTGCACTGGCCAATGTTGTAACCACTTAACAATACCAGCTCATGTTATCCTATAAAATAAAGATGTAATATGCAAATTGACCCTCATGCCCTCACACAAGATGGCTGCCATAGGGGAGAGCAATTGGGGGTGACTGGGCTGGCAGGGGAGGGCAGTTGGGGTTACCAGGCCAGCAGAGAGGGCAGTTGGTGGCAATCAGGCCAGCAGAGCAGGAGTTAGGCATTGATCAGGCTGGCAGGGAAGTGGTTAGGGGGTGATCAGGCTGTCAGGCAGGTGTGCGGATGGGAGCCAGCAGTCCCGGATTGAGAGGGATGTCTGGCAGTCAGACATCCCCCAAGGGGTCCCAAATTAGAAAGGGTGCAGGCTGGGCTGAGGGACACTTACCCCACATAGACACCCCTGCCCGCCCAGTGCATGAATTTCGTGCACCGGGGCTCTAGTATGAAATATAAGGAGCAAATTACAAAACGAAATAAACTATGATCAGGATTTTAAGAATATAAAAATGTATTGTCTGGCCAGTGTGGTTCTGTGAGGTTGAGCATTCATTCACCCATGGACCAGGCGGTCATGGTTCAATTTGCAGTCAGGGCACATGACTGGGTTGTGAGCTTGATCCCCAGTGTGGGGCATGCAGGAGGCAGTCAATGATTCTCTCTCATCGGTGATGCTTCTATCTCCCTCTCCCTTTCTCTCTCACAAATCAATGAAGATATTTAAAAAATATTTACTATGCAAAGTCTACATTCAGAGTGGGGCAAAAGTAGGTTTATAGTTGTTTGTATGGGAAATAATGCAACAACAATAATAATATAAGAATAGGCTTTGTTTTGCATGTTCAAAACTGCAAACCCACTGTTGCCTGACCTTGTACAATTTGAAGGAAATAAACCAATAAATGGACAGTTTACCCTAAATGCCGAGGTTTCAGAGGGTTTTGTTTTTTTAATTGTATTTATTTTTTTTATACTTTCCACAAGTTGTATGAGTATGTGTTATTTTTTTTATATCAGGGAAATGCTTTTTATGAAAGAGTCCCAGTGTTGGTCAACTTAAAAACACCTATGTGCATATCATTCTGGCTCTTTCCTTCGTGTGTTTTAATCAGGACAAGAAGTTTTAATGTTCTCAGATGAGAACGAAAGCAAAGGCACAGGCATGACTTATTTAGCTTGGGGCCCCTGTGGATTAAATTGACAGGTTGTTTCCAGCCTGAAGGCCTAGCATTCATACCATCTATGAGTTAAGCTTTTCCTCAGTATACCAACCCTCACCCCAAGGCAAATGCCCCTTGTTTATAGGCTGTTTCAGTGTTTACCATACTTTGTTTTTGAAAGGAGAAGGAAAAAAAACAGTACAAATGTCTTTCTCCTCCACTGGCCACACGACATTGCATGATCCTTAGAAGGAAGGAAGGAAGGAATGACCACCTAAGTATTAGTGCCTAGAAAGACCTTTGCTTCTCAGTAATTGGCTAAATGTATTGAACAAATGTACAGTAGAACCCCCACAATATAAAGATTTTCTGAAGGGCCTTGTAAGGTATTTGTCTTAAAATACCAATTCATAGTCTTTTAAAAGCATCAGTGACAGGAAAGCAGCCTGTTACAGCAGCCTTTACATTGCTTTTGATGATTTAGGCTATTTTCACAATAGAACCATGTGTGCATGTATAAATTGACGTAGCCGTTTTAGAAGGACAGTTGAGCAATATCTGTCAAACTGAAAATACACATAACCTTTGTACTTCCAGCCATTTACTCTCCAAATAAACTTGCACAAAGTAGGCAAACACATATGGACAAATGTCCTTATCAGAGTACTGCTGGTTCTGTCGTTTCCCAATAGGAGAGTGACTGGAGCACTGCAGTCATTGAGAACAAGGTTGGTCTGTTTGTATTCACGACATTGGTAATGATGTTACCCTATATTAAATGCACATTTTATGCACTTTGCCATGCATTTGACATATTTGATAATTCTTGTAATAGCTTTATGGCAGGTATTAGCATCTATTATTATTTTGCAGATGAGGAAAATGAGACCCAGAAATTAAGTAACTTGCACAAGTAAAGTAAGGGGCAGATTGGTATTAAGAGCCAGGCAGTCTGAGGCTCAAGCAGGTGGACCTCTGAAATGCATGTCCTCTTTCTGTTGACAGAGAAAGATCAAGATACGATGATCCTTGACTTACCCAGGTTTGCCTTACTGTTTCTTACAATGTAGAGAGGCATCCGCAATCAGCAGAAATGGGCTGGTCTAGGCTGTGATATTTTGTAGGTTAGGTGCATTACATGCATTTTGGCATATTTTCAGCTTACAGTGGGTTTATCCATACATAACCCCATCGTAAGTCGATGAGCATCTATTATATATTAAATAAAAAAGCAGTTCAAAACTGAAAGTATAGTATACTGTCATTTGTGTTTTCAGTTTTCAAAAAAGCCACAGCACAGTGGAAGGATATAAAACAAACATAACAATGCTTCATACAAGAAGGAAGTGGATTACCTTTTATCTCTTACATGTGTTTTAGTAATAGGCATGTGTTATATAAATTTTTAACTAAAATAAGTGTATCTGATATTTTGAAAAGTTAAATGCTTACTGAAGACATGAGCCTCGAATGCAATATCCCTTCCCTTTTACATACCTTACTATAGGGTTTCCCTCATTCTTATTCTACCACTGCTCTCATTTCTTATCTGCTCTCTTCAGAATTCCTCTGGGGTTCATTGTTGACCTGACCCCACTTCAAATATTTAAATTTTTATTGACATAGCACCTTAATTTTGTATTTTATTTCTTTAAATTACCCACATTTTTCTATTGTTTCCTAAAGAATTTGAGATTGCTTAAGATATGATTCTATAACCTACTAGTATAGTTCTTGAGCAGTAAGATTATCTTTTAGTTTCCTCGAATTAGCCAAAAAAAAAAATCAGAATTTTATAATTCTTGTGATTTGACAAAATTACATTTTGTTTTCTTTTTTTAAAATATATCTTATTTTATTGATTTTTTACAGAGAGAAAGAGAGAGGGATAGAGAGTTAGAAACGTCAATGAGAGAGAATCATCGATCAGCTGCCTTTTGCACACCTCCTACTGAGGATGTGCCCGCAACCAAGGTACATGCCCTTGACTGGAATCGAACCCGGGACCCCTCAGTCCACAGGCCGACGCTCTATCCACTGAGTCAAACCGGTTTTGGCCATTTTGTTTTCTTAAAGAAAAAAAAAAGAACAGTTTTTCCCCCCTCCTAATAAACTTGAAGAAAAGGTCTATATCATAGGCTCTTATGTAATTTATTCCTTTCCAGTTATTTTTGTGTGTTGTTTTTCTCTACCCAACTAAATTATAAGCTTCCTTAGGACAAATTCATTTTCTTTCTTTTTAAAATTTTCATTGGTTGATTTTGAGAGAAACATTATTTTGTTCCACTTATTTATGCATTCATTGTCTGTATCTTATATGGGACCTGACGGAATCATACCTGCAGTTTTGGTGTATCAGGACAATATTCTTAACCAACTGAGATAGCCAGCCAAGGCAAATTCAATTTTCTATACTACTTTTGTTTCTACCTAGAAAATATTCACTTGTTATTATGGTTGAAATGATAAATTAAACAACAACTGCAACCTTGACACATTTCAAAGTATATGTTACTACTACTTTTCAAAGACTTAATCTTTGAGCAGTTGGGAAATTGATACTTTTGTCCTCCTCATTGGGGTATCTTTTGGTAGCCTGAAAAAAAAGTCACACCTGGCCAACTTGGCTCAGTGGTTGAGTGTCAATACATGAACTAGGAGGTCACAGTTCAATTCCTGGTCAGGGTACATGCCCTGGGTTTTGAGCTCCATTCCCAGTGTGGGACGTACTGGAGACAGTCAATCAATAGATTCTCTCTCTCTCTCTCTCTGCTTTTCTCTCTCTCTCTCTCTCTCTCTCTCTCTCTCTCTCTCTCTCTCTCTCTCCCTCCCTCCCTCCCTCCCTCCCTCCCTCCCTCCCTCCCTCCCTCTTTCTCTTTCCTCCCTCCCTCCCTTCTCTCTTCCCTCCTTTCTCCCTCCTCTCTGAAGTCAGTCAAACTAAAATTTTTCTAAATGAACTTATTTCTCAGTGTGTAGCTTTTACTGAGTTCTTTTATAACCCTTCCTACCTGAGTATAAAGTGTAAAAAATTGGAAATTTGTTTCAACTTTTGTGTTAGGACAGTTAATTTTTTAAAATATGGCCTACAGCTTTTGTTAAAAAGACAACTGGTCCAAAATGGAGTCACTTGTGCTAAGCCTCACATCAGCAAACCAACTTATTACCTAACATAATTGCGGTTTCAGCCTCTCACTTTTTACTTTCTCTTAGGCCAAGTTATCAAGGCATGGGACATTGGAGTGGCTACCATGAAGAAAGGAGAGATATGTCATTTACTGTGCAAGCCAGAATATGCATATGGCTCAGCTGGCAGTGTCCCCAAAATTCCCTCGAATGCAACTCTCTTTTTTGAGGCAAGTATGTGTGTGATGCTGCCTTGTTAGCATCTGCTCTGCTACAGTGCTGATTCTACAGGCAGTAGAACGAGGAGCTAAGCTTGCTATTGAGAATGAGATCCAATTTATTTCTTTTGGAGCAGGACTTTTTGAATTGTTTCCCACAAATCAAGGGGTGTGTGCCAGTGCTTTCTTAGAAATGTGTCTCTGGCACAAAAAGATCATTTCCAAATAAACAAGCGACCAGGCTTAGCAGTAAAGGTTCTGGTCAGTAGTGTGCGTATGACATACTAAAATTGACCAGAAGACAGGATGGAAGTGTGGGAAATAAATGTTGACATATACCTAAATCAAGTTTTTGGTTTTTGTATTTATTTAGTTTAAACCTTACCCACGGATAAGGATTTTACTCTCTCAAAATCATTTTTTTACATTGATTTTTAGAGAAAGTAAAAAGGAGGGATGGAAGTGATGGGGGAGAGAGAGACACACACACATCGATCGTTTGCCACCCACATGCACCCTTGTCCAGAAATTAAACTCGTGACTCTTGAAGGCACAGGCTGATGCTCTAACCACTTAGCTCACCAGCCAGGGACTAAATCAAATTCTAAGGTATTTTCATATTTTAAAGGTTTATAAATGTAATAGATCTCATTAAACACAGTAAGGATGATAACATGTTATTGTGTGTTGAGTTACACGCATTTGACCAAACTTGATTTTAAAATCGGGAAAGGGGGGAGATAAATGTCTGAAACAGTGTAACTAGGTAAAATACACTCTTAAGTGGTTACAGGCCTGATTTCATAGGATTTATTCTTACAGTTTAAAAGATTCGATGAATCTGGACGGAAAAGTGGTGGGTGTCTCAAGTCAGACAAAATGGTTTTTGGCCAGCACTTTGTAGTTCTGGCTTTTTGCCCATCAGGCAGTTTTCCTAGTATTTCCTGTCTGTCTTTACTCTACTCCCCACAGGATGTGGTCCCAGACATTATCATTACATGAAGGTTCTTTCCAGGTATTGAAAAGTGCAATGTTCTTGTTTTCCCACTCTTCCAATAACTAAGATGCATAGATAAATATAGAACAGTTTTATTTTGTAAAATGAAAGGAGAATTGGTTGCCCTTGCCTTTAAGTATATTAAATTGGCTTTGTTTGATCTTTCCTCAGCCAAATCTCTTTTCCTTTCTAGATCGAGCTCCTTGATTTCAAAGGAGAGGATTTATTTGAAGATGGAGGAATTATCCGAAGAATCAAACAGAAAGGAGAAGGCTATTCAAACCCAAACGAGGGAGCCACAGTAGAAAGTAAGCAGATGTGATAGCAAAATAGTCCTGAACAGTTGGGTTTCTTCTATGTGGGTGAAATGGAGATTTCTTTTTAAAACTGTTTATAGAAATAAATATAGTGAATCTATATCAACAATAATTTAAATTTGACATTTATTTAATAATGATCTCATCTAGTAAATATTTACGTGCCAGGTACTATTCCGGACTCTACAAACTCACAAAATGAACAAAACAATATCCCATCCATCAGGGAATTCTTACTCTGTGGACTCCTTAGTGTACTAACAACTGTATTAGTTGCCATATATGTTTATTCACATGTTCCTCACAATAACCTTATACAGTAAGATTTATTATCCTAAGAAGAGAAAACTGATGTTTTCTAAATTGCCAGTACAGAGTTACTAAACAGAGCAATCCTATACAATAAAAGGCAAATAGTCCAAATGGTGGAACAACCAGTTGCGATGGTGTGCACTGACTACTAGGGGGCATGTGTGGATCATGGTGGGCATCAGCTGTAATGGGATGGTGGAGTTGAGCAAGGGTGCCAGACCAAGGCAGGCATTGGTCACTGTCACCGAGGTGAGCTTCTGGTGGTTACTGAAAATTCTTTGCACCCGCTGCCAGTGTCAGAGCCACCACTCACACCCGCTGCCGGCGCCCGGCACTTGTCCTGATCATTTAATGCCATCTGCTGGTATGAGCAATGGCTGCCAGCCCCAATCGCCCTGAGGGTTTCTCCACCTCCCCCTGCTCCTGAGGGGCAATCAGGGCAGCAGCCACCGCTCGCAATCGCTGCTGACACCAGCTCCAATCACTGCGCCATCTGCAAGCAGGTGGCAGGGAGGGCGCTATCAGCACATGAGAGTGGTAGGAGTGGGGCTACTGGCAGACAGGGGACCTGGGCCACTTTTGGAGAGGCTGGGTGGGGATATGGAGGATGGGCTGAGACTCACCCCTGTGTCCACCATGGTCCACAGTTCTTTCAAGGTGCACAAATTCATGCACTGGGCCCTTAGATTATAATGCACTTCAGGCCTCTTCAACTCGTCTCCCTTGCTGTCATCAAGATAAACAGTTCATCATTTTAGTTTGATCGGAATTAAATGAGAGTGTTCATTTTGTTCTATGTCAGGAGACCTCGGTTCAAGGTCTGCTTTGCCATTTATTGAGTGATCTGAGGCTACTTTATTTTTTCATTTGCCAAGTTGGGAGTGAGGATACTACTGAGGTCTTGGATGACTAGTCATTCTTCCTCTGAGAGCACATTGTGTACACCACTGTGTATACTGCTTATCAGTTAACATTGCAATCAGCATTTGCCCATTTCCTCAGTACACAGTGAGTGCTTGACTAGAAGCTTCTTCATCCTTTTGTTTCTAGCATCACCAACAGAGCCTTACTCAGAAAATGCATTTTGCATGGATAAATATTGGAAAGATGCCATTTTTTGAGCTGACGTACATTAAAAAGAGGTGTGAAAAAACAGGACCACTTCCATTAAGGAAAAAAATCAAATAACTAAATAAGGATGGCAACATGAACTATTATAAAAGGCCCATTTGAAAATAAAGAATTCATTTAAAACTGTAAACTAGAATAGTTGATTTTTATATATTACTGTGGACCCATATTTCATTTTTATGAGTCTGGCAAATTAATTCAAATTAGTTCTAAAATTGGAGAAAGTTACAAATAATATTACTGTACCACTGTAATTGAAGTATTTAGATAGTTATCTTCACAATAAGTTTTAGAATAAATGAAGAAGAGCTCAGATGTGTGTTGGAGAAATACCTAGACCAGGGGTCAGGAGAAGGATTCTGACTTCAGCTGGCTTTCTCAGACCTAGCCTCATGAGCTTCAGCTTCCTTCCTATACAGTGATGCTGGCAGGTAGACTTCTTGGTTCCTATGGTCCCAATAGCCCTAAACATTCTTTGATAGAATTCTAAATGTTTATAAAACTTATAGGAATGGTAGAAAATCATTTTCAGTATATTAACAATCACTGTTCCAGCGTGTGTTTTCTTACCTCAATTAAAATGACCATCTTGTAATTTTTATGTGGTACTGTCCTTTTTCCATTTTAAATTAGTCACTGTGTGCTAAAGTATTCTAATTGACATTGTTATGATGACCGTTAGTTATGGCACTTTAGTTTAATTGCCAGTAGTGGCTACGTTGTGACTTTTAAGCTTTGCTTTCATAGAAAATCCAGTCTGACTGACCTAAGGCTCTAAATAGCCACTAGCTCCTCTTCTCCCAACTCCTGTTTTCTCACATCTTCTGCTTTGTTAAATTCAGTGCTTATAGTACATCGAAGTGCTGGCTGGGTCTGGCTCTCTTGCCTGTTGCTTCACAGTGCTTTCAATCACATTCGCATGCAAAGAAAGCAGACAATGGGCAGTAATTTTCAAATGTGAAAATTTCAGGAGTAGCTTCCAGAATTCAGATTGTTGGGAGTACCCTTTCCGCTCACCTCTTTTCTCCCTCCAAATCCCACTGGAGTGAGAGATGAAGAATTATTGCAAAAAAAGAGAGAAAGAAATCCACATTTGTGCTGGAATCCAGGAAGAATACAAGAAATGGATCAGAAATTATGAAAAATTCTGGAATATGTAAACTAGATGAAACTGGACTGATGGAAACTAGAGTTGGGAAACTCAACCCAAAACAGGTGTAGAGAAGACCTCTGTAGAGGTACATACCGTTCTTCTCAACAAGCTTGGGCAGAACTCCAAGCCCACAGGCAGCTGGTGTGAGGGAGCCGAAGCAGGCTATGGGGCAATACTCAGGGTTGTTATAAAACAATATGGAACAGCTGGGCCAGTAAACCTCTAGCGGCGTAGTTCTTTGGCTGAATTTAGAATTACCTGGGGAGCTTTTAAAATTATGATGCCCAAGCTTTAGTACAGACCAGTTAAACAAAAGATTCAAACCCCAAAGGATGGAACTCCTCAGGCACAAACGTGTGTGTGTGTGTGTGTGTGTGTGTGTGTGTGTGTGTGTGTTGTTGTTGTTGTTGTTGTTGTTGTTTTTAACTCCCCTAGTGATTCTAGTTTGCAGTCAATGATTGAAAATTCCTACTCTAGGATCTGGCTATAGCTTTTGCTCTCAGGCTGAAACCAGTAAGGCCAGGTTAAAATAAAAAAGATCTGCCTCAGAAGACCCCACATGTTAGGCCTTGGATTATAGATGAAGACGTCAAGTATTTTTGAAATTTTAAAACATGTAAAGGGGGAGTGAAATAGTAGGTCTACACAACAGTAAACATGCTAGAGTGTTTGGCTCCTCAAGTAAAACTTTTTCATGCATCATCATGGAACAGTGTCCCCAACCTTCCTGTGCACATCATGCTCAGCACAAAGTAAATGCCTAGGAAGTATCTGGGATCCTCACTACTGTGGAAATGTACTCCTTAAAAATACTGTGCGAGGCACCTAATTATAATCATTTCATCTTGCTTAATTCTGCCTCTGTATTATGATCAGACAATAAAAAATCATCAGCAAGTACTAAGAAAAAGAAGAACCAAGATAAGCTAAGAAGAAACGGAACTTTTAAAATAATAATTACTCTCTTCAGAGATATATAATGGTTATTAAATGCATAAGTCAAACAACCAGCTTCTTTGAGAAAGGAAAGGAAGGATCAAGTTTCTGGAAATAAAGAATATGATTATTGCCCTGGCTGGGTAGCTCACTTGGTTAGAGCATCATTCCCATGGCTAAGATGTGGATTCAGTCCCCAGTCTGGGCACATATAAGAAGAAACCAATGAGTACATAAATAAGTGGAACAACAAGTCAATCTCTCTCTTTCTCTCTCTCTCTCTCATCAATAAATAAAAAGATTTAAAAATATATGATTATCAAAATTAGGACTCAGTAAGGGTTGAAAAGCAAAATGGAAATTCTCAGTTAATAGAGGCATACAGGATACGTTCCTGGTGAAATATCTTAATTGCATAGCTTAAAAGAGAGGAATAAGCTGTTTTCAAGGAATGAGAATCAGACTTGTTGTGTGTGACAGTAAATACTAAAAGACCATGCTTTGAACATTTGTCTGAGAATTCTATACTCAGCCAAATGATCATTTAAGTATGAGAATAAAATTAATTTTCTGGAATATGCAGACTCATACATTCTTTGAAGATTAAAAATCCTATATAATAAAAGCTAATATGCAAATTGTCATCGCTCCATCACACCTTATCCGCTCAGACACTCAACACTGGGGAGAGAGAATTGGGGACTATCCAGGCTTTGGCCCAGGAGAGGGACAAGCCGCACACCCCACAGTCCCCACAGTCCCAGGCACCAGCTGCTGGGCCTGCAGCCCAGGAAAGGGACAAGCCGCCCACCCATGTCCCCTGCAGCTGCGGCTGGCCCGAGCGAAGCCCGTCCAGGTCCTGGGTGTTTGCGGCCTGCCAGAGGGAGGGAAGCCCAGATCCCAGGTGCCTGCAACCAGCTGGGGGAGAGGATCCTGGGTCCTGAGTGTGGGGCAAGGCAGAGGCGGTTAGGGGTGATCAGGCAGGCAGGCAGGCAAGTGGTTAGGAGCCAGTGGTCCCAGATTAGAGAGGGTGCAGGCTGGGTTGAGGGGACCCCCCTCCCACGCACAAATTTTATGCACCAGGCCTCTAGTACTATAGAATATACTAAAATGTCACAAAAACAATAAAGTCAGGAAGTGAAGACTCAGGCATAAGAAACATTAGTGAGCAAAAAAGGTGAAGTTGGATACATTTATCTTGAAAAATTCCAGAAGTGGTAGGACTTTAATGTTAAAAATAATAATAGTTTAATAGTCTGGAGCTAGGTTCTAGGTCATTTTAACAAAATGTGGCACTGGTGGGAAATAGAGAAGGGAGGCAAAATTGCCTCACAATTTTCTTATTCCAGGAAATATTATTCTGATTGTTAACATTGATAAAAATTATATGTTGAAATGATTTGTTTTAACTTAATGGTAGATACTAGTAAGAATAGCATGTAGAACTTACAAATACACT